AAGGATCTAAAGAGGAAACAAAGTGAGCAACAAACATGAATCGAGGTTACCGTTTGGTAGTGGTCGTCATTGCAATGTCAATCAACAAAGATGATGTTGATGGGCGTTTCGAGGTGGCTCCAACATCATGATTGAACTATTCAACGGCGCATGCGAATCATTCTTATCAGCACGAGAAGTGGTGTCCGCCGAAGGTGATTCCGTGACCCAAGGTATTTCCTCTCTTTGGCGTTTGATCAATGGTCGTCATTGTTAGCCTTGTGCTTTGCGTATTCTAGTTGACGTCCCCCCTTCAAATCATGTTTTCTTCTCTCTTTATACGCGATTGAACCAAAATATGATGTTAGGGGTAATGAGTTTTTTCCTTTTTAAGTCAGACATGTTTGGGACACGTTCAAATCCTCACTTTCCTTTCCTTTTTAGTTCAAGAAGTCGTGCGATTTGTTGGATAAAACGAAGGTATTGGGATATTTTCTGGCTGTGTTGTTTCCAATTCTTGCTTCATAAATTTATGAGTTGTCCATTTCCACCCATTTTATTTGGGACATGTTTTGTGATTTGTAATTAATGATGATGATTTGGTGTGATCTTCACACTATAATGATTCCTGAAGTAATTCTGCCCTTGTAATGAGTTTGAAACCTTGCCATGAAAAAAGGTTGAATTTGATATGATTAAATCTTGGCATTTGAATAGATATTGGAACCTTGAACACCCTTGAGTTTGATTACCGTTAGTTTTAACTCTTCCATTTATATTTGGATGAACCCCAATTGTATTGTCAAAAAAAGAAAAGATCTTGAACCAAAGGATCTTGAAATCACGAGCCTCTTGAATTTAGAACCTGGCGCAAATCGTATAAGAAACGTTTGTAACTCGATCCCTCGCACAAGGGAGTTGTCATGGTAACACTTGAAATAATTCGATAAAAGGATGTCATCTTGTGATCTGAGTAAATTCCAACATAACTCAAAGTTACACATTTGGATATGGACCTTGGACTTTGGGCTTCTCAGGATTCCATCCAATTGAATCGTTTGAAATTTCAAACCCTATGAATCAAATCAATCTTGTAATTGCTTTGTAAATACCAAAACTTTAAGTCCACTTGACTGAACATTTAATTCCAGATCAAAATTAATTGGTTTAAAGCAACAAGACCCCAATGGCAAAAAAAACTCTTAGCTTCGACTGGTGACCTATGACTCGCATCTTACATCTTAGGCCAATCTAATTCCAAAATAAGCCTTTCTTGACATTTGATCCATGAGGAAACAAATAAGGTACAACCAGAAAATTCGTCCGAGACATCTTCAAAGTATTGACCTGAGAACGGCCTCAAGAATGTAGAAATTTGGAAGCGGAGTGCGTATCAGATAGAAACTTTAGGATGACCTTAAGTCAGGGTCAATTGATCATGTCCATAAATACTTCAAATGTGAGAATGAGTAATATCTCCACTTAAAATTATTGCACCTGCACAAACTGGTTAGCCGTGATAAACACACATACAAAAGTAAAAAGATATCATGTAAGAAAATGCACAAAGAGGTGGAATCTTAGGGTCGAAAATTAGGGTGCTACATAGGGCAACTGTCATACCCAAATTTTGTCCCTAAATCAATAAACTGTTGTATTCATCATGACATTTGCATCATCTATATATCATGTCATGCATTTATTTCAACATAGTGCTTAAAAAATGACTAGAATAAAATTTTGTTTTTATAGACAGATCGGTTGAAGCAATGTTCAATTGCACGTAAAATTAGAGGGTGAAAAATTTGAAGTTCAGACATGCAACAACTTGTTTTATTGATCTACGATTCACGTAGTTTAACCCGATGCACTCGTTTAATTTTTTCGATCCCATTCACATTCACATTTTGATAAGCCTGAGTCTTTTCAATCAAACATTTTTTACTATGAGATTTGATCCGCATTTGTTTGTTTTACGGAGCTTATTTTACATATATCATTTTAATGCATTCATTTGATTTTTTCCGCATATTTTTGCCCCCAAATTTTATTCATTTTAATTCCTTTATTTTTATTTATTTATTTAATAAAAATATAAAGGAAAAATAAATAGAGACAAATACATAGGAATTTGTTTTTTATTTATTTATTTACTGAAAAAGATAGAATTTTATTTAATTTATTCTTTGAACTTTTCTTGATCACCCAAATAAATATCTAAGGGCACTTTTGGAACAAAAATAAATTTGTAACCCTAAGATAACCATTGAAAATGACACACAACTAACCAATACATGAACGAAACACTCTCATTGGTTGATGACTCTTAATTTTAAAAAAAAAAACTTAAAAAAAAAAGATTTAAGTATATTTTCTTCTTCACGTCCAAACCCTCCCAATAATTACTGTTAATGGTTTTCTTCCACACTAAAAATAACAATGCATAATAAGCAATCATACAAACCATTATCTTTGACTTACCATGTAAAAAAACCTCTACTGCACATCTACTATTGAAAACACCATTACCATAAAACACCCTGATCCACGCTAGCCTTCATTTTTTTTCCTTCTTGATGTAAGTCACACAATACATATCCTTCATAATCTCCTTTTACTTTTCAACATTTCAACACAACACATTTTCTCCCCCATACCACTAACTTTCTCATTTTCTTCCTCCATTCTTCATTAATTCGATAACTTGTCTACATCATATCTCTCCCTCTATCACACTACTAAATTGTGACCATATCTTCTTCTACTTCATGAACAATCACCTTCTTTCAATCTCCTAAAAAACCACATACCACTTACAACTCCACACACATGAAAACACAACCTCAACCACCACAACAGTTTCTTCCATAAAACTACAATGTTTATCTTCACACAGGGATACCACACACCATACTAACTCAACAAAACCTACAAATACCACAACATCATCACCTTCACTGACTAACCAAATCTTCAAGAACGATTAGTTTTGACACATCGTCTTCCTCAATCAATTACAAATCCCTCACGATTAAGATCTGAAATTAAACTTGAAGCTAAGGATACAAGAATTTCACTACAAGAGTTTCAAACTTAAAAAAATAGAGGGTGTTGGTTTCACCGAAAATCACAATGTTGATTATTGGATTCTTTTGTTTGAAAAATGACGAGAAAATAATTTTATATGTGCTTGAGATTAAGCACACAAATGGATGGAAACATATAGTTATATTTGATTCAAGAACATTTCATGATTTGAGTCAAGTGGAGCAAGAAGGAAAAGTGATTTTGATCCATTTCTCATCTGATTCGAATCAAGTATATTATGTGATTCAAATCAGAAAGCTCGTGATTCGAATCAAGTGAAAAATATGATTCGGATCAATTCAAACATAGCCAATTGAAAAATGAGGAAAGACTTGTCTGATTAAAATCAAATGAACCAGACGTTACCCAAATCAGTCAGATTCAAATCAAGTGCAACATATGATTCGAATCACAAAATTGCCTTATTTTAATCAAGTTAAAAGTCTAGTTCGAGTTAGAGTTTGAATTTTTTTGAATTTGCCTATGTTCAATTTGATTCGAGTCTGGATATGTACTTGATTCAAATCAAGTACACAAAATCTCAAATTTTCATGCCTTTCAAAGTACTAAGATTTTTCTTTCTACCTAACTTTAATCAATAACACACATGATTCTTATTCCATTGACTTATGTAATTGACAAAAATTATCATGATTAAGTTTAAACATAATTATTGTTTTATGTATGCTAAAAAATAATCATTTCAAAACTTAATTCATAGAAAACGTGTAACTATGAATGAAACTCAATATACAAAAATAAATAAAAACAAGAGCGATAAAATACACATAAAACTACCGTATTAGAACACTCCCCTAAATACATTTAATCTTCTTTTATTATAATTTTTCAACTAATTCTTATAATATATTATAGATTTTCATCTAGCATTTTCTATTAATAAAATTGTGATGACATAACTATTGATTACCCTGTCCTTATTGTTAGTTCCAACCTTACCATCTGCCTAACTAGCAGAGCATAAGCCTCTCATTTGAAATCTCAACAACGTCACTCTTTTCTTGGTTGTGCACACACCAACACCACACCCACGCGCATAAAATTAAATTCCAATTCCTAATCCCACTATACTAGTACACTGTACCTTCACAAGTTAACCCCCAACCCAAATCAAACAACCACGCACAATTACCACAATCCCCAATACAAACAAATCTCCAACCCGCCAAACTCAAGGCCAAAATCGTCATCTTATATAATAATAGCAAATATCAAATGGGACCTAACTCCTTTTCGATCACGTACTCTCTCTCTCTCCAAATACAACAACCAAAATATCGACATTAATTATCGATCAACATTCTGATTAATGTCAATTTTTTAATTAGTTAATCAATTAACCAGAACAAGACGCCACCTTGCGTCACCGCGCCAATACGCGTCTAACCCACACGCGTCAATAAAATCTTTCCACGTGTCAAAATGCTTCTTCCACGGTCACAGCTTTTTCTAACTTACGCGGGATCTCACACTTGCGCTTGTTAATCTCTCTCTCTCTCTCTCTCTCTCTCTCTCTCTCTCTCTGTACAGTTATTTCTTCTACGTCGTCGTTTCAAGGTTTCACCGATCCAATCTTCGTCACCGATTCTGAAGAATCGAACTCGAACGAAGAATTCAAGGTTTCAAGAAATTGGTGAAGAATAACTACGAAACCGCTAATGCTGAATTCGAATTTCGAATCCTAAGCTCTTCCGTAACAATTTCGTGTAATAAAATATCAAAGAACAGTGCAGTGGAACCGCTGGTTCCACGATCTTCCGTCTCCGGTACCGGCGATGATTTATAAGGTCATTTAGCTTGCAATCGATCTCACTGAAGCAAAAATTATCCTTCTCCAGCTTCCGGCCGGCATCACTTCCAATCTGTTCTCGTTTTTTTCCTTGGAAGTTTGAATTTCGTGCTCCGGTGAAGCGATGACGTCGAAGGTCGTGTATGAAGGGTGGATGGTGAGGTATGGCCGGCGAAAAATCGGGCGATCGTTCATTCACATGAGGTACTTTGTGTTGGAATCGCGGTTACTTGCTTATTACAAGAGAAAACCGCAGGATAATCAGGTGAATTTTTAACGTTATTTCTTAATTTTTCCTCTTTTGATTTTTTTCCTTCTTTCTGCAAGAGATAGCTAAATTCAGTTAGATTTTTGTTTTTTTGTTTGCTGCAATTTCGATAGTTTAAGTTTTCACTTCATGGAATCACTTTATGATGTGAAAAGGGAATGGAATTTTTGAGTCTGTCTCTCAGCTTTTTAAAATTATTATGCTTGGTGAATTATTGTCTGTATCTTTTACTTTACAAAGGTGTTTGAGAGAAGATGCTGCTAAAAAAATTTGATACTATGAACTATTTATTTATTTTTATGCTGTTTTTAGGTTCCTATTAAGACACTGCTAATTGATGGCAACTGTAGAGTGGAGGATAGAGGCTTGAAGACCCATCATGGACATGTGAGTTCTGCTATACCCATCAGAGGAGTTAGTCCTGACCATACAATTACAATGGATTATCAGGATTAGATGTAAGTAAAACAATCTTGACAATCCATATATGGCTGTGTGGTCAAGATTATCTCCTCTCATCTTGTTTTATGTTGATATGACGTATTGAAAAATGTCTACTAGGTTTGCTTGTATCAAGAGTAATCCTGTTTGGAAATTGAAAATGCACTGAATGGAATCCAGTGAGTTGATGGAGTGAGGTGATGTCAACATGGTCTGTCTTATGGCATGTCCTACAATATATTCAAATCATGGTTCTTTTTCACCGGCGCATCTAGTAAATTTATAGGAAGAAATGAAACCGGCCTCATTGTAGTAGAGTAGTGATAGATGTACATATGATTTTACACAAATTTAAACCCCTTTGTATGCCATTAGGTTTACAGTTTACTTAGGGAGCTGTGTAGGGTCCCATGAACACCTTCTTTGAGAAGTTTTTGACTTTAGTTTTTCCTGTCTGTATAGATTAAAAATGGAATTCATTCCAATAAAATATTCTAAAGTAGAAAGAAGGTCAAGGTATCAATCATCCTTCAACATGACAAAAAATGAAAAAAAAAACGTTTATAACAGTTTTTTAATCTATCTGCATGACCACCAAAGGAATTCCTTAATGTTTTTGGCGTGCTAAACACCAAAGTGAGACTAAAAGCTATCCTATCTTGTAGCAAAAGTGTGAACATAGATTTCTCCTTAAAAATCCAAGCATCATCTTCAGGTTCCAAAGATGTCAAATTAATGCATACATTTCACTGTTACAAATTTTTTCTGTCATTCCACCTCAAACCTCTATACCCAATCAAACAAAATTCTCCAAGCTTTAAGTGCACAAGCACAATTCCTACTCCAAATATAGCTGGACAAATCAACAATAAATATGCAGTTTTCTCTGAAATTAAAGAAACATATAAGGATACAAAGGTACATCTAGTAGTCTGTGAACCTAATGTTTATTTCTTGCATTGGTCCTGTTTAGTACCACCATTTTGATTAACCCAAACCCTACTAGCTGAGCAACTGTGTTTCATTCTGCTACTAGCGTTGCCTCAGCTGCTTCAATTTCATAGACAATAAGTTTGTACATGCTATCTGGCATCTTTTTTGTTTTACTAGTTTACATTCACTGGAATGAGATGTATATTTGCTCACTTTTTGATGTGGTGTTGTACAAGTAACCAGACAATTCTTAGTCATCGTGTAAAGTAGTTAGAAATTATTTTTTACTGTAAAAATTATGAATGCTTTTAGAAGAGGGAAATGATATGGCAACAATTTTGATTAACTTTTTTCTTCCTTCACGTAAAGTTGAATTAAACAATTTGACCGTAGGTTCTATTTAAAAGTGGCATATACTGGGTTTTTGTATTGGTAGTCCTATTTGTAGTTGAAATCTACTTCTCTTTTAACCGTTTAGAGATTTACTATACTAACAGTGGCTTTGTTCAATCCATAATTTTGCCTGCATATTTTATAGATATGCAACCTGCATTTATTTTTTACTTATTTTCGTGTAGATGGTATATGTTTTGTCTGTTTACAACAAGAAAGAAAAGAACCAGCGGGTTATGGTGAGTTGATTTTTATCTAATGTACATTTATACTTATCTATCATTAACGAATTAGTTAATTAATTAATGAATTAGTTAATTAATTAATGAATTAGTTAATTAATTAATTAATTAATGTTATTTTGTTTTTTTATTTAGCCTTTTTTTATCAAATGATTTAGCTATTGCTGATATTTTATTACTTGGGTTGTTGTAGCAGATGGCTGCTTTTAACATCCAAGAGGCCCTAGTTTGGAAGGAAAAAATCGAGTATGTAATTGATCAGGTATGTTTAATCAAGGCATAGTCCTATTGTATTCATTTAACGTAGATCAATATCTGTGTTCATAATTTTCTGGTTAGACTTTATCTCTCTCTGATGTATATTGACTTAAAATGAGAATAATTATTTTGACATGGACAAAATAATGCCTTGTGATCTTACTTTTTGTAAATTCATCTTAGTAGGAAATGCTTTTCTGTTGTGTAAGTTGGCGATAATATGATATTAAACTTAAATGCATGCAGCATCAGGGGGCACAACCATCAAATGGTAACAAATATATTTCTTTTGAATACAAATCTGGGATGGACAATGGGAAGACGGCTTCTTCCTCTGACCGTGAAAGCCAGTAAGTATTCGTTCTTCGATTTTCTACTTAATTTTGTAAAAGGCGGTATCATGTAAAGCATACCTACTTTTCCAGCAATGTTGTTTCCTATGCGATTGAACTATGCCTGGTCTCGTTGAATTCCCTTATCCATTCTTTGGAGATGCTAGTGCAGTTATTCAGGGAGATGTTATAGACCATGACTTAGTTTTCTTTCCCTCTTTTTTTGCATTGCTGAGCAAATAGTTCTACTGCATTCAATTCTGGGATACCATTTTTATCGTGCAAGCCCTCCTCCTATTTATTCATAACATCCGATATTATTTTTTGATCCCCAGGTTTAGTGCTCAGGAGGATGAAGATGAGCCTTCTTCAAATTTGTTAAGGAGGACAACAATTGGAAATGGTCCATTTTGTATCCTTTCTGCTTGTGGGTTTGCAATTGCTGTGATAATCAATATTTATGCCTATCCTTTTTTGAGCTGCAGGGCCTCCGGAATCAATTTTTGACTGGACACGAGAGATAGATTCCGATTTGTCAAACCAAAATGCCAATAACCAAGTTTTCTCAAGGAAGCATTGGCGTCTGTTGGAATGCCAAAATGGTACCTTTCCTGCATTCACTGATGATGTAAAAGACAATATTATGATTACTGAGATGCTTTTCTTCCTGACATTAACAGGACTTCGAACATTTGAAGAACTTCTTGAAGTTGATTACCTTGTGCGTTATTTTCTGTCCTTTATTTTTGTAGTGTGCTACATTTCGTAGACTATTTGGAAACACAACCATCTTCTCTTTGATTCTTTATGTAGCCAAGGAGCTATAGTAGAGCGATGAAGGCAGTGGGTGTTGTGGAGGCTTCTTGTGAAGAAATTTTCGAGCTTGTGATGAGCATGGACGGGACTCGGTTTGAGTAGGTGTTCTGCATGATTTCCACTATTTTTATGTTGCTGTGTGTTTGTGGTTGTCATTCTATAATATAATTATATTGCAGATTATGTGTTATTCTCATACCCTTTTGTTTATGGATAAGCGAGGGCAATTAGAGTTGTCATTTTAAGAGATTGTAGAGCGTCCATTCCATTTTAGAGATTTTACTTACCTAGTCTAAGTCTGGGACAATGTAGTCAAAGCACCAAAAGTTATGACTAAGGGGCTGATGCAAGTCTCCAAAAGAGGCAAGCTATTCTTGGTACCCTAGAAGTGATTCCAGTATCTTATCAATGAAGTAAAATAACTCCAAATCACAACCATCTGATAGAACCTGGTAATAATCAGTGTATAGATGAAGGAATAAAAAGGGTGAGATGTAGAGAATCGTAGCTTAAAAGGAGTGGATGCCTCCCAAATCAGAAGTGGTCAGGGGTAGGCTAGGATTGCCCTGGTTGTTTTTCTCTGTTAGTAATCATCTCTCTTCCTTTCCAAATCAGAATGTTATTATACTAATACAGGTCTGGATTCTGCTTTAATACAACATTGTTTCCACTCTGTTCCTTGCTATTTTCCTTCTACATTTCCACCTGTACTAGAACTCTTGTTTAAGGATGCTTTGAACGGATACTACATGAGCTGCAATAGAGTCTTGAATAGGGAAAGTTTAGAGAAAAGTTTGCAAGAGGAAACAAGAGTCAACCCATTTGAACGAGACTCTTAGAACTTGAGTTGGACCTAACTCAACACTGCAAAACCTGATTGTAAGACAAGGGATGCCTCCCACTTATGAACACATCTTCAAACCATATCTCATCTACTGTGTGACTCTTAACACACTTCTCTCTCGCCCAAGATTTGATATCTATTGCATGACCCGAGTTGCTGAATGACCGGTGGTTCAACGGATCTTGAATAAGCTCTGATGCCATCCTAGAATCTGGGTTGAACTTAACTCAACCCTACAAAATTGACTTGTAAGGCGAGCAACGCCTATCACTAATAAACATATTTGGAGAAGTATTCTACATTGATCTTGGTGGCAGATGCTGAGAAATTTGATGCAGTATTGTTATCTCTTGGAGAAAGAGCCTTGCATCAGTGCCAATGGTGGGAGCACAAACACCTTTCACCAAGTTAAGAGCAGTTCAAGGACACTGACTTCAAGGTTTCAGAAAAATTGGTTCATAGTTTATTTAGCCCATTGTTTAGCATTAAAGAAACAAGTACTATCATGGAGTATCATGAGGAGTTTGAGATTACTTAGGCATCATTGAAAATATGGACAAGTAGATATTAAAATTGTTGTCGAGGAGTCAAGAGGAGTACAAAAGTAGTGACCTTCTCCAATGGTCCAATCAATGAACCAAGACTAAGACTCTAGTTTCCCCTCAGAATCTTAAGTAATTGGGTACATAGGTCTTGGCTCTTATATCATCTCCATTTAGCCATTTCCTGGCCAATGCAAAACCTGACTTTCTCTACTCTCACTTGGATTCCCAACGTCACTACTTTTGTAATGTGAAGTTTGCAAGATTGGAGAGACACACGTAGTCCAATAACTAGGAGGATGCACTAGATATCAATCCCTGGGAGTGAGAGAGGGGTGTTGAGAGTCTCACATTGTATGTGATATGAATTGAAAAAGCATTTATAAATGGTGGAAGACATCCCTCGCCTTACAATTTGGTTTTGCTGTCTCCCACTTACAGACACTTTTTTAAGGGTATGGTGAAAAAATTGGGCCAAAGATTATGGAAACATAAATTAGACTACTGACTTTGTTTTGGAAAACTTGGTAGGATTCTAGTTATTGTCCTCTTCTTTTCAGAAGTTTTGCTGTGTTATCATTTCAGTTTTATATAAAGCATCACAATATTCATTAAATACAAAATTTAAATATGCCCGAAAACTTATTTTGGTTGTTAGGTTGGGTTGGTTTACTATATGTATTGAATTTTCATTTTTCATGAAAATTTGTCCTGATGATTATCCTAAAACCTTAAAGCTCATTTTTTATTTTTTAAACTCCACATAACATGCAATTCCATGATCCTTTCCTTCATTGAAATTACTTTTGCTATCAAAATGACTTAGAGTGTTCAAGCCATGAAAACTGATAGAGACCAATGTAATCATAACAAGAGACATTAGAGGAAAAGAAATGAAAAAACTATTATAAATTTAGATAAATAATACTTTATTGTTAATAGAACAATAATAGTAAAAGATGGGGCAAAGCTATGATACAAAGAGGAAAGGAATCCTACTCTGACCCTAGCAGTAGCAGGAGCTTGCTCCGTCGTATCCTCTGAAGTCCTAAAACTTATTCTTATATAATACTTAGGAGATCTTGTTGAATCATATCTTTATTGTAGAAGGTATTATTCCTAAAATCTTTATTAAAAATTACTAGTAGAATATTCCTATGACTAATGAGATCTTATTGAATCATATCTTTATTAAGAAAATATTATTTATAAAATATTTATTATAAATTATTAATAAAATATTCATATTACTTATACTTTGTCACTACTAGTCTCATTGAGTCCACCATCTCATCTTGGGTCCTATTAAAAAGTTACAGGGATGTCAGTAGTTTTGCGGTACCTTCAATCTGTACTGATAATGAAATATGGAAAAGAAATAAATTCCTTTGTTTTTCAGTTCCAAATATTTGATGATCTATAGTTTTGCGAATATCTTGTCCCTGGACAGAATTGGTAAGCTTCTTGTTATTTGCATTGCTGCAGATGGGATTGCAGTTTCCAGGAAGGTAGGTTAGTTGAGGAGGTGGATGGGCATACAGCAATTCTTTATCACCGACTTCAGTTGGACTGGTTCCCAATGTAAATATAATCAACATTGATAATACTCCTAATTTGTAGTTTATATTATAGTTAACATTATCATTATTTTTGCCTAAATGGACATAAATGTCTTTTACAGAAGAACCATCTTTTCCTGTAATATTTTTCTCCCTTCATCTCACAACAGGTGTCCTCTTTGAGGTTTTCAAACTTTTTAAAATAATGATTAATTGTGTTGATTTCAATGATAAAACGAATGCCATTTACTAAAGTAACCTTATTAAGAATAGGTAGTGGAGTGGTTACGTGAATTAAAATACAATAAATAAGGGTAAGTTAGTAGAAAGAAATAATTAATATTACATATATTCTAAAGGGACAAATATTTTGAGAGAAATAAAAATAAGAAAGAAGACACCTATTGTGAGATTGAGGGAGTAATATTAATTTTCTGAATAAATTGTGTCCTTTCATGCATGGAGACCTATATCTAGATCTCCTAATAAAATCTGAAATGTTATTTGTACCTATGAAAGTTTGATTTAGGACTGGATAAACTATTTGAAAAATGACTGTACATCTAGAAAGTAATTACTTACATTGATCAAATGTCATGTGTTTATCGTGGCAGGTTTGTGTGGCCCCGTGATCTTTGTTATGTACGATACTGGCGTCGAAATGATGACGGAAGTTATGGTAGGAAAATTTGTTTTTCCGCTCAAAGTTTTCTGTTTATGTGGTGGCACTGACTAAGGAAACACAACTAGAAAATATTCAATGAAAGTGAATAATTTATATCGAGAACTTGGAATATTGAATACTTTCCTCTTTTAAGTAATTAAATACATTTAATAGAAGGTATTAAATGTACCTTAATACATGTTAGCAACCTATATATTATTAATTCTGTATGTTTATTTATTTATATTTCTTCCTCTGGCAGTTGTTTTATTTCGCTCTAGAGAACACTACAACTGTGGTCCACAACCAGGGTGTGTCCGGGCACATATTGAGAGTAAGATTTCTTTTTGATCTGATTTTCTTGGGGTCTCAACATTGTCAACTTATTATAGAATAGGATCATGCACATGTCCACTCTTGTGTTTTTCTAATAGTTGTTTCAAGGGCGTTGCATCTTCCAGCTTGGGTGGATTGAGCAGCTTTTCCTTTTTTTGTGCCTTGATTCTACTTTCTATTTTCTGCTTTTGAGGATGGAGTCCTTTGACCTTTCACTCCAATTATCTGTATCAATTACTATAAAGGCAGATATTGCAAGCATATGAACACCATCAAATCTTAAATCCTAAAACCAATGGTTTTATGTTTGACGTTATATAACTCATTATAATATTTGAATAACTGTTTCAAGTTGTTTAAATTCATTCTTAGTAGCATAAGGATGGGAATCCTATTCTATGTGGTTTTTAAAAAAAGTTTAGCTAACATTTAAAATACCCTTGGAAATCATTTATTAAAGCAGGGTGTAAGGGTAATAATAGGAATTAAAATAAGAAACCCTCTGGAAATGAAAACTATGCGAACGTGACTTTATTTTTTTCTTGGGAATCTTTTATATGCAGGAATAATTTTTTAATCCTGCAACGAATATTGTAATACCCATTCCCTACACATTTAAATGACTTGAAATAAACACACCATATTATTTCAATATACAATCTCCTTATCTTCATAGATGAAAATTGTCAATGAGATTTTATGGGTCTAAGAGCTGGTTTGTACAGGTGGAGGATATAACATCTCCCCCTTAAAGCCTAGGAATGGGAGGCCCAGGACACAAGTTCAGCATCTTATGCAGATTGATCTGAAGGGTTGGGGTGTGAGTTATATACCGTCTTTCCAGCTGCATTGTCTACGCCAACTGTTAAATAGTGTAGCTGGTGAGTTGATTTTCTTGTATGTGATTCACAGTTTTCTCTTGGAATGATAATATCATTGGTTTTTCATAACCCCCCCTCACTCTCCCTCTTTATAGACAAATAATGCAATAGAAAAAACAGGAATGGAGGTTGCCCCATTTTGTTTTATTTTTTTTGTGGGAGAGCATGGTTTACAGTGAGTATTTCAAAATGCTTGATCTTTATCCTCTCAACAGGTTTACGCGAATGGTTTGCCCAGTCAGATGAAAGGAATGCTCCTCCAAGAATTCCTGTCATGGTTAATATGTTCTCAACATCTGCTTCTTCAAAGAAGAGTCAGAAAACAAATGATATTTCTGTTAATTCTACTTCTCACGATCAAAATGCCGCACACAGAAATTCTGCTCTACTGGATGAATATTCCGATGAAGATGAGGATTTTCAAATAGCAGAACCAGAGCAAGAGGTATTATTTGCAGTCCCTCATTTATAGTGTTACCCTTTGCTATATAAACTCTAAATGTATTTAATATTTCAGGCGTTCCAAATTGGCCGTGAGAGTGATGTTAGAAAAACAGGTAGCTGCTTGCTATACCTACTTTTAATATAATAATAATATTATAATGATCATGCCCTGGCATGAAACACTAGCATACAGAGATGCATGCACACGAGCTAGGTTTGATTAGATCTAATGATTAATTATTCCTTAACAGAAGCCTTGGATGAAGAGCCCGGTAATGAGATCGACTTATCTTCCTTTTCGGGTAATTTACGCCGTGATGATCGTGATAATGCTCGGGATTGCTGGAAGATATCAGATGGAAATGACTTTAGAGTCAGAAGCAAGAATTTTTGCTATGACAAGTCAAAGGTCTCTTATTGTTTTTTACTTTTCCCAAATCAAATTTCTTCATTGTTTGGGTGTATTCTTATTCCTTTATGGTGAACTGTGAAGGTTCCTGCAGGAAAACATCTGCTGGATCTAGTTGCTGTTGACTGGTTTAAGGACTCAAAAAGAATGGACCACGTGGCTAGGCGTCATGGTTGTGCAGCACAAGTGAGAATTAGAATATTGTCAATGTTTTTTAGTTTGATGAAGATTATTGGTAGGTGGTAGGAACTAGGTAACTTTTTATAAAAAAATAGGGAAAAACCCAATTACAGAGACCAGAATCACAGGTCCCTTGCTTTAATGCTCACTAACAAGAAGATTAAAAGAGCACTGCAAAAATTTGAGGGTTGGCAAATCCCAAAGCTTACTCCATGACTGAATTTCCTCTCCCATACCTTTCCCTCCTTTTATTATAGCTTCTTACCCTTTCCCCTATGTTCCCACATCTCTCCCTAGTACCTCCTCTCCTTATAGGCAGTTTACAGCCCGTATCTCTTATTCTGTCAAATTTCCTAGTGGTCTGGCATAAAAGTTCCTACATATTCTGCCTCCTGAAGGATCCACCTTGTCATCAAGGTGGAGTTCTAGGTGAGTGCCTTGTAGAAAACGGAAGGATTTCTATCAGTTTCACTTTGTTTGAAACACAACAGCCAAGTGAGAATTAAAGGATAAACATTTCTGTCATTTCATCTTAGTTACACTTTATTAATAGAGTCTTTCAGTTTATCACTTTATCATGTTGTGTGAATATATTAGAGACCTATGACAGGCTTCTTGTCACTTATCTAAATGAAAAATGATAATATGCATATATTTTCAACATATTATATACAGAAATTTATATACATTTTCCTCAAGGTTTGCTCTTATTACACTTAAAGACCTTTTTTTCGGAGGCATAACACCGATTCTTAACTGTAATGGAGATCCTTAGCATTTTAAAGTTTATTGAAATTCCATGTGAACCCTTTGTTTAGATCTATGTTTCTGGACCACCCATATCTGTCCACGCTTTAGATGTCTAGTCCTAGTCGTGAAAGTGTTGAGAAATCTCGATCGACTAGAAATATAGTTAAAATAGTTCTTAATCATTATAAAGCTAGGTCATTCCTAACCGCTTGAGCTAGCTTTTGACTTTGAGTTGGGCCTAGTCCAACTTTGAACATGTTATCAGATCTTTGTTAAAAGCATGATATGATACGGGACACATTCTCTCGCTTTTGGAAATTATTGTCGAAATCACTGTGTTCTTTGCATTTTTTCTTCTTCAATACATAACTAAAATTATTCATAAATATTGGATCTGTGGACCAAATTTTATTTTTATTCACCTTTCAACCTACCCAAGACAATGTCCCCCACGGTTTCTCCTTGTCATCATTCCAAGGTTGCTTTAGTGGTGTACCCTACAGTCTACCAGGTTGCATTCCGTTAAATGCTCTATAGCTTCAAAACAACCCACACCTACATGTGGTTTAAACACCTCATAGCAGGACAAGACATAGTTCATAAACCTCACTACCCACCTGTTATAGAAACACACAGGTTAAGGGGTACAGTTTTTTCTTAAATTGGAAGGTTTTATGTTGTAACAAGCACAAACCTTAATGTAGTGAATTTGATATCTCTTTTACTATTTATAATTTATTCAAATTGTTGTTTCTTTTTTTCTTTTTCCTTGAGGCTTTTGCTGACAAATGGACCTTTTCTTTTTGGTGTCTATGCAGGTTGCGTCAGAAAAGGGATTTTTCTCCATTATCATTAATCTTCAGGTGAATCTTTAATAAATATGGCTAAATCAACTTCAAAATACAAATGCTTAGATTTTTGAAGTAAATGAATGTGTGTTGTGTGGCTGCAGGTGCCAGCATCATCACATTACAGTATGGTATTTTATTTTGTGACCAAGGAGTTAGTTCCTGGAACACTCTTGCAACGCTTTGTTGATGGTGATGATGAATTCCGAAACAGCAGGTTGAAGCTCATCCCATCAGTCCCAAAGGTATTCATTCATTTAATATTTTCCACCATATATTGGGCAACTTTCACTACCTTCTGGAAGTTAATTTTATAATGTGGCTATTACCGAAATTCTTGTGTAGTTACATTTTTAAGTGCATTTTATAACTCTGTCCCATGTTTGTTGCATGTGTGGTGGCTGTTTCTGTGCTTTGCCATTTATTTCTTGTATTAAATATTTTTCTCTCATTTATTTTTTAATTGTCTCCATATGGTGGTTAATTTGGAAAATGTTTTCCGTTCTATTTTTCCATCAGCATTTTCTTGCTGCTGTTTTTCAGATTTATCTTTTATTGTCTTGTAATTTATGAGAAAGGAAATAATTTACCCCCGCTTTCCACAGTCACTAAAATTATGCTTCGTACAGTATGTTACAACTTACAAGCAAGGAAATAATTTTTACTCATACTGCAAACGTAAGTAAGAAGCACTCCATAAATGTTTTTCGTTCATAGTTTGACCAAATTTTGGATGGACTTTGCAGTCAGCTTAGTAAAGTAATGCAGAAAAGCTAGATCATATATCGGCTAGGTTGGCATAGTTTGTCGGTTATAACAGATTTTGAAACCTTTAGGCATTTTTTCACATTTCAACTGATGGGAGAAAGAATGTTGTAAATCAACAATGTATTCACCTCATCGGAATAAAAGTCAAGCAAAGCATAAAAAGGTCATTTCCCCAGAAGTCAGTAATGCCCAATGTTAGAATAGTATATATATCTTATAATATCGATTATATTATACTAAAGTATCTGAAGTTATTTCCTAGGATTAATTTATTATTTTATAGTATCTTAAGAGTATCAAGCTGTTATTTGGTCTGTATCAATAAGATCAAAGGTCCTAATTATTTCCTCTCTTACTTTTATCTAAAATCCCACAATTTCTTCATAACTCCAGAAGCACAACCATCTGATAGGGCCTGGTAATAATCAGCGTATGGAAGAAGAAAATAAGAAGGGGGTGAGATGTAGAGAATCATAGCCTAGACAGAAAAAATGCAATATCATCCTCATTTTAATTAATTGCAATATCTTATTACACTCAAAACTATTAATTTAAAACTTGTAGTATTTATAAACATTTCGCATGTCCGGGTTCACTTTCTCAGGTTTAACTTTACAAAATGGTAAGTTATTATGTAGTAATTCCTGCTACAAGTTTCATGCGTATACGCATATGCTTGGCTCAATTCACATGTTTAAATCTCTTATTGCCATATTTTTGGTTTCATAGGCTAGAACTCTCCCTTCATTTTTCCCAATTTAATTATGGGATTTTTTTTTTCTTTTCCTTTTCTATTTGTAATTATAACTACAATCTTTTTGCTTAAGGTCAGAGTACAAGTATATGTTTTACGCATTGTTATTGATTTTCCAACAAAAAATGCAGGGTTCATGGATTGTACGCCAAAGTGTTGGGAGCACTCCTTGCTTACTGGGAAAGGCAGTTGATTGCAACTATATTCGTGGTCCGAAGTATTTAGAAGTAATATTTCATTGAATTTATCTTCACATTTGTTGTCTATTCTATTGTACGAAGCTTCCCACTAATGAATGTCGTATCGTATCCTCCCTTGTTTCTTATGATCTAATCAAATAATTTGTCTGTAGATTGATGTTGATATCGGTTCTTCTACTGTTGCAAATGGAGTTTTGGGGTTGGTTATTGGCGTGATTACAACACTGGTGGTTGATATGGCTTTTCTTGTACAGGTATGGTGTAGATTTCATATGCTAGTAATGAACGTATAAGCAAGTTATCGGATTTGAGTGGGAGTGTGATTGGATAGACCTATTTAGTGGTTGCATTCAGTGTGGAAAACTTTCATGTTCAAATTTCAAAAATAGCATTCAGTGTGGAAAATTTTCATGTTCAAATTTCAAAAATAGCATTCAGTGTGGAAAATTTTCATGTTCAAATTTCAAAAGTATAATAACTTGGATTCACATTTAATAAAATACTTGATTTTAGTTGACTTCTTTTAATTATTTTTTTGGTTGAATTTACTTGAGACGGTTGTGGGCTTCTAATATTGCTGATTGTGTAGTCCTTCTAATTTAGAACAAATCTGCCTTACTCCCCTAATTTTGCCAATTTTTTTGCTTGCCACACTGCAAGTGCTAGGAGTTATAAGTACTTAATTTTAAATTTGTGGAGGCTTTTATTGCTAGAATGTTAAATGAGAAATTATCTTATATACAGTAGCATTATTGGCGGGTGTGTTTGAGAGGTAAAATCTGTAATTTGGTCTGAATAATTGCTGACATTTTCAAACAACGGAATTATTGACAATGGGTTACTTGGCCCTTTATTATTGTTTTTTGGGTTATATTGCGAAATTTTGACAAGATTGTTACAATTAACAGGCAAATAGTTCTGATGAGTTGCCTGAGAGACTTATTGGAGCTGTTCGAGTTTCTCATTTAGAGCTTAAATCTGCCATAGTCCCAAAATTGGATCCAGATCCATCATGACAGGCCAAGTCTTTTCTAATGTTCTTTTATACAAAATCATTTGTTTGCAATATGCAATTGTATCATTTTTCATTCTACTGGGATGTAGGTTCATTGTTTTTAAATTGGTTCTTTCTATAAAATATTAAAAGGAAAATTTTCTTTTCTTCTCTTTCAGTTTTGTTTTTGAAATGTATTTAGTTCAGGGTCAAGCTGATATAGGATCTGTATTTTGTCAAACGTATTAATATTGGGATATATTTTATCCGATAATGAAGTATCACCATATAGTTTTAATCTTGTCTCTGTAGATCCTTTAAACTGTCAAGCTTTCAGCCATTTCATTCTGTTGTGCCAAGTTTTGGTGTTTTTATTATTATTAATGATATTTTAAAGTTGATTCAGATATATAAATTCTTTCCTGATATTCTTTACCCCATTATATTGCAGTAATTCAGAATTTTCGAGGTTGTATTTGCATGGTCCTTCCGTTTCTTAAAGTGTCTCATTTGTATTTTTTTTTTATATATCAAAATAAATGTCTTCTTAGAATATTAATATAACATTTACTATTATTTTTCACTACTATACTCCAATTCATTAACTATAACAAATAAAGGTATTTTAGTAAAAAATATCAATTTTATCATTAAAATTAATATATCTAATCATTTTTTAAAGACATTTATTATGAGACGGAAGTAATAAGAAAAATCGTTCACATTCGTCCCACAAGGATGTGTACAAGGATATGTTAATTTAAATTTGAAGACATTAGTTGAAGTGTTTTAAAACTACTAGTAATGCACCAGTTCTAGGACATTAGGTTTGGAATAAATTTATTATTTTCTTCGTTTTCTTTAAAGTGTAAATATCTTAGAAAAACTAATCAGTGTTGTTATTTTTTATACAATACCTTTTTTACTTATAATATTCTTAATTATTTATTATATTTTCTTTTTTCTTTGTAATAATTATTTAGGATAATTTTAACAAAGTACATTTAATATTACTTTTAATTTTACAAGAAAAAATAAAAAATAATCTAAAAAATAACACAACGGGAGTATTATTTAACAAATTTTAAAATTAGTTAGAGTTTAGATCCTTTATGGTGTTTAGCACGTGCAAAAATAATAATTTTTCATCATAAGAAAAGAAAAATTGACTTTTGTTGTCACGTGTCTTTTTTTAACTTGCTGATTTTTCAAAATTAAAAATCAAAGGAAAATTATTATATTAGTATTTTATTTATTTTATTTTTATTTTTTTTCTCTTTATTATGCATTCTCTCTCTTTAATGGGATGTTTTCATCTTCATCAATTGTTATTCATGTTAATCATCTTCATCTTAATTAATTTTTTAAAGAAGAAATTCAAATATGAAAACTACAATGTTTGGACTACCTCTGCCTACTAACTTACTTCAATTCATATAATAACTTGCGAAGTTTACAAATCATGCAAATCAGCATGAAGGAAGACATTATTTACATCCAATTGTTGTAAATGCCAACCTTTGATAACAACAATAGACAGGAAAACCCTTAATGTAATGATCTTAGCCACAAAAGAAAAGGTGTTAATATAATCTATCCTTTCAATTGAAGTATACCCTTTTGCTACAAGTCAAACTTTATACCTTTCCATGGAACCATTGGTTTTATACTTGATTTTGTAGACCCATTTACAACCAATACAAACCTTACCAGGTGGTAAATCCATGACAGTCCATGTATGATTATTTTCAGGAGCTTGCAATTCAACGTTCATTGCATGCTTCCAATAGTCAAGCATGTTGACTTGATGGAAAGTTGTTGGTTCAGTATTATATGATATGGAGTAACAAAGGTGTTGATAAGTAGGAGAACAATGAGTGTAGGAAAGAATAGAAGATAGATGATAAGGAAACACTAGATGGAGAGGATGTTGAGTCTGTAGAGTAACAATGGTAATTCGAAACTCTCATGGAATGTCTTAAAGTTATGATGGAAGTTTCTTCGGAATTATGTTGGGAGGATGTAGTAGGACTGTTGGAAGCAGGATCACGACTGGTGGATAAAGAAAGGTTAGGTTGCAATGTGTCTAAGGTTGTATTTTCAGGTATAAGGTTATGATGACTTATGTCATATAAAATACATCATTTGGCCCCTTCTTTGTAATCAAGGAATATAGTGCTCCTAGCCCTAAGATCAAACTTTGTTCTATGAGTCTGTAAAGTGAAAGCATAACAAAGACAACCAAAAACCTTCAAATGGATTAAGGATGGAGGTTCATGAAATAAGATCTCACGTGGGCATTTCGATTTCAAAAGGGGGTAGGAAATCTATTGATAGTATGAATAATATGTTGGACACAAAAATTTCAAAACATTGAGAATATGCTCTGATTCTTTCTACCACCCTATTTTTTTTAGTGTTTCAACACAAGACTTTTGATGGATGATTCCTTTGGACAACAAGAAATTATTTAAAGCAATACATTTTGTTCCATTATCATACCTCAAGTTTGAGGGATTTTTGGAATTGTTTTCAACAGAGACAACACACTGAATAAAACTATCTTTCGTTTGGCCTTTAGTTTTGAGAAAAATGACCTAGGTATATCTAATAAAATCAATTAGCAAAGTTAAAAAGTATTTATATCCTAATGTGGAAATAGTTGAAAAAAGGCCCCACAAATTAACATGTAAAAGCTCAAAAGGAGCAGAAGATCAAGTAGTTCTATTGAAAAAAGGTAGTTTTCTTTGTTTAGCAAAGCGACAAGAATCACGACGAGCAATATTGTTTCCACATGAAATGAAAGGAATTTTTTTTGAAACAACTTGTAAACCTATATTAGATAGATAGCCTAATCTTAAATGGCAGATGTTACAAAAGTAAAATGTTGTCCAGCAGAATCAAAAACATACGATCCACTTTGCATTTTAGTTATACCAATCATTTTCTTGGAATGATTCTACATAATGCAGCATGAATCAACGTTGAATTGAATAGAACAATTATTTTTATTAACTAATTTGAAAATATAAATCAATTTGACATGAAAGCTATGAATATAAAGAACAGTGTATGGTTATTGAAGGTTTAATAACAATACCATAAATTGATGTAGAAAGTTGAGAGTCATCAAGTAACGTAATAAATATGAGAACTATAGGGTTGTAATCAATAAAAGTAGAGAAGTTGAAAGAAATATGATCTCTGGCACTAATATCTAAAATTCAAAGGTTAGTAGACTTACCATTGACATAAGAGAAATGTGAATTCAAGACAAGAGGGGGATGTGGAAACTAAATTGACTTGGGAAGAAAGCTTATACTAATGCAACAATTCAAGAATGTTGTGGGATTGCTCCTGAGTGAAACTATAACAGGATGCAGTGGATCCTGGTGGAGGAGCTTCTGAAGCAGTAGTAACTATGACAACAATCTAAGAATTTGTACCAGTGTCTTGAATCTTACTCTTGCTTTTGAAACCTGGTGGAAATCCATGTTTGATGAACCAAGTCTCAATGGTATGATTAGTTCTACCACAATGATACACACTCTATTATGACCTATAGGACCATTAATTCTTTGATATGTGCCATTGAACTGAGTATGACAATGTTTAACATTGTGAGTAGCTTGAGAAGTCTGAACCTGCACAATTACAGTTTTTTCATTGTTGCCAATGCTTGGTATGAAAGGTGAGAGAGTACTATTCATCTCTCTTTAATGATCAGAGAAAAGGTTTTATCAATGTCAGGCAACAGGTTCACCATCATAATATGGGATTTCGAGTGTATGAATTTTTCATTCAATCCCATGAGAAAGTGTATCACATGGTTTTGTTCTCTATAAGATTGAAGAGATGCGATCACACCACAAGAACAACGGATTGAACATGAGTAAGTGGTAATTAGACGATAATTTTCTAATTCGTCCCATAGAACTTTCAGATGAGTAAAATAATTGGAGACATCGAGACTACCTTGATAAAACTTGTACAAATCTTCTTGAATGTCTGAAATGCGGAAGATGTCGATGTGAAAAAACCTAATCTGCAAATTCTTCCAAATATCGACAATACTATAAATCCAGAGCACCGATTTGTCAATAGATTCATAAATTAAGCGTTGAATCAACGCAAGAACCATGGTATTGCGGCGGATCCGTGACACATAGAGAGTATAAGACATGCAACTTTACAAGAGTGTCGCCAATGAACTTATCCTTATTCTTGGAGATTAATGCAATATGCATCGATCGAGTCCAAAATGATAGTTTTTATTATCAAGCGGGGGAGAAACAAGAAAAGTGATAGTTTTTATCATCAAGCGGTGGAGAAACAAGAACGAGCGCATGATTCTCATTCGGACGAAGGTAATACGAATTGACAAAATTGATTGTGAAGTTTTGAATAGCCATTAAAGCAAGAAGAAACAAGAAAGTTGAGATTCAAGATAAAAAATAAGAGATGAAAATCAAGAAAACAAAGATACCATAAAAAACAATGGCTACCAAAATTTGTTAAACTCTAATACCATATTAACAATAATAACCCTCATCAAGAGATTAAAATGTAAGAATGAGTATACACTTCCATTTATATTAACATAAGTTTATTTAATACATGATTTATAAACTCATAAAGCTAGTACAAGCTATTACACATGAAGCTTGATGACTTCTTGAGTCAAGGAATCTAAATAAACAATACAAAGAACCTAAACAAATCTCCTATTAATACAATCCTTAAAATCATCTAAAGCATCCGCCGAACTTCTTGGAAACCTATTCCGAAACTTCTCACTAAGAACTTCAGCATTCTTCTTCATTTCTCCATCATCCATCAACCTCTTTATTCCCATAACTATATCATCTTTGGTCACATCTTTTGATAGATCCTCAGAAACCATGTAACCCACCTTAAGATGACTCACAACCAACTTAGCATCATGGTGTTGGTCACCCCTTATAGGCCATGCCAACATCGGAATCCCACGGCCAATAGCCTCCAGTGTCGAATTCCATCCACAATGAGATAAAAATCCACCCGTTGATTTGTGACTCAGTATCAACAGCTGTGGCGCCCAGCCGCGTATTATCAAACCTCTATTCCCAACTTTTTTATCCAATCCATGAGGAAAATACCCTTCTTCTGCTTCCGGTTTGCCTGGACCCGGTCTACCTGAACCGGATTGGATTACCCATATAAACGGTTGTTCACATGACTCCATTGCTTGTGCCAGTTCCGCGTATTCTTCTACTGTGGGTCCCACCTCAGAACCGAATGACACGTATAAAACTGATCCACGAGGCTTTGAATCTAACCACTGGTTCACTTCGTTCTCGGTCACGCTGGATAACCGGTTCGACCGGAAATCACTGTCGTGGAGAACTGAACCGGAGGATTTCCAATACTGCTCCGGCAAAAGCGGTCCAACACCCCACACTGGTTTTCCGACGTAGTTTGCCATGTAGTTGATAAATGGACGCTCCAGATCATCACACGTGTTGATCAACAACGCTGTTGCTTTTTGAGTCTCGTTCAGCCACGGTGGCTGTTCTCCAACTTTAGGTGGGCCCCTCTTTCCAGGGGGAGGCGGAAGAAAGCCGTGCTGTGAAGGTGGAGGAAAGCCGTGCTGCGGATGAGGAGGAGGAGGAGGAACGTGACGACGGCGTCTTAGATCCGAGTGGCTAAGTGCCATATCATCTGGTAAACCGGGGAGAAAACGGATTTCGCCGGGTTTCAAGTCTAACGGCTGGGCTTTCCATACCGCAAGTTCCATAGCAGAGGAGCATGCGCCGGAGGTGAAGAACGCCACCGTTGGAATTTTAAACTCTTTGAAGACATCGATTGACCAGCTCATCATGGCATCGACAATTGCACAAACTGGTAGGCTTGGATGATGGTAGTTAGAGAGGATATTTTGGAGGCCTTTAGCAAGCTCGTGGTGGTATTCCGGAGAAGGAGGTGGTGATGGGATTAGGGTGATTTGAAAGAGAGGGTGTTGATGGAGAGAAGAGGGAACGGAGGTGGAAAGGGTGGAGGAAATGAGAAGAGTGACGTGGAAGTTTGAGGAAGTTAAATGGTTACATAGTTGGAAGCATGGTAAAAGATGGCCTTGTCCGAAAAATGGTAGAATGCAAATTTCTTGAGACATTTGTTTTTGAAGTTATTTTGAAGTTATCAATGGATTGTAATGTTTTGTGTGAGATAGGGTTTTAGTTTATAGTATTAGAAATACTAGCTAATAAGCATAGAACCGAAAGAGATGAGGGAGGAATCAACAAGAAGAACATTTAATATTATTTGACTTTTTGGTTAGACTTGAAAACGAGTAGATGGGAATGGTATGCGTGTCAATCATCGCATGCACTATATTGTTTTGCATGGTTGATGATGGTTACATTCTCATTTTCTTCTTTATAGCGGCAACCAATAAAGGGGTGTAACTCTTTCTTGTAAGTTATTACACTATAATTGAAGGTCGACGAAACTTCACCCTAGCTATAGGTTTTTATCAATAGTCTTACTTATGATTTTTGCTCTTTTATTTTCATTACACCCATATACTATTATTTTTTGATAGGTATGAGTTTGATTTATTTGAATTAGGTTAAATCAATTTAAGTTTTCTGCCGACATAGTTACTATGTCAAATACAATTCATCACAAGATTTTTTAGAAAAAATGTATAATCTAATATATATATATATATATATATATATATATATATATATATATATATATATATATATATATATATATATATATATATATATATATATATATATATATATATATATATATATATATATATATATATATATATATATATTCAAATGTTTAATTAAGCATAATAGATTATTAATATCTGGTCCTAAGATGAAACTTTTTCAAACAAGGGTTAGATTTTTAGGATATGAAATTAATCAAGGAACTATAATTCTTATACAAAGAAGTATTGAATTTGCTTCTAAATTCTCTGATATTATTACAGATAAGAAACAATTACAAAGATTTTTCGGTAGCCTTAATTACATAGCAGATTATTATGAAAATCTAGCTAAAGATACGACAATATTACATGCTAGGCTTAAAAAGAATCCTGACCCTTGGACTGAAAAACATTTCTTGGTAACAAAATTTTGTTAATGTGACATTTACTGAAGTTTATAAAACTTTCAGGATTATTGTTTGTTAATAGCGGAAACAAGATCAGAATATTTTTAGTGTAAACAAAGAGTATAGAAAATGGTAGAGACAATATTGTGAGAAACTTTATATTTCTTCTTCAAAAGGTGTGTTTACAAATGAAACTTAAATCCCTTTATATAGGGAAGAAAAGACTTACTATTTAAACCGGTAACTAAAACTTACAATAGCCGGTAACTTGTATAATTATTGTCGGGTACACTTGGGCCCCATCGTCACAACAATTAACAAGAAACTACAAAAGTCAAATGCATGCCTAGAAATTATTAAAGACAAGATAAGATTCTTTTTCCCTTGTCTTTTACAAAAGATAAAAAATGCATGCAATTATGCCTAGAAATTATTAAAGACAAGATAAGATAAGATTCTTATTCCCTTGTCTTTTACAAAAGATAGAAAATGCATGCAATTATGCCTAGAAATTATTAAAGACAAGATAAGATTCCCCTGTCCTTTTGCATTTGGAAAGATTCTTCTATTATTTCTTGACTTTTAGCCTTTGTCTATTGATTCTTACTTCATTATATTGGGACCTCCTCCCGCAAAGCTTCCTCTCAGGTATAATTCCAATGCTAGATGCAATTTCCATTCTGAGGCACCTAGTCACATCATCTAAGATTGTACGAGGTTCAAATACAAGGTCTATGAGCTCATTGATTCAAAGGAAATTAAGGTCACACAGGGTGATCCTACTCCAATTGTTGCAAAAGAGATGGATGCTATTCTCCTTTCTTCAGGGTCAACCTCAAGATAGGGGCCTATTCCACAATCTTGGGTTTCAGAATCTCCACATCAACAACTATTTCCTGTTCCTCGACCAAATATGAAGAGGAAAGTGTCTGGACAAGTTGGGTGCCTAAATCAGAACCATCCTCAGAAGAAACGAAAAAAGTTGAAGAAGCCTGAAAGGCGGCTTTATGCTATCCACATGTTGTACGTATAGTTATTGCCCGAGCTTCTCAAACATCAATTGACTCAGTTAAGGAGTTTCGGTGCTCCTGCCCAGCTGTCACCAGGTTATGATGCAACTGCAAGATGTGAGTTCCATTCAGGGGCATCTGGCTAATCAATCAAAGATTGCAGAGCTCTGAAGCATCAGGTTCAAGATCTGATTGATTCAAGGGTTATCACGATCACGACAGAAGGTCTGCACATGAATTAAATACTCCCAAGTGAGCACTCAAGCTGCAAATTCATCCTTATGATCAATAAGCCCATACAAATTCAAGCCTCCTCAACAATGGCAATCTGGAGCTTTGTTTACTGCATTTTCATTTGTACTTTTCATTGTTTTTTAAAGCATTGCTTGCATGTAGAACTTGTTTGTTATTGAATAATAATCTTAATGCAACGAGTATAATTTTCTTGAAGTAATTCATTCGTGTTCACTCATAAAAATATTTTTGCGCACTGCAATACCAATTTTCTTGCTTAAACTCTTTGAGAGAGGATGATGAAGTGAAAATACAAACTTTCTGGTCGTATGCATTTGGAATAAAACCTTGCTAATGATGTACATGAATTGTTTCAAATCCCCCAAACACTGAAGATATAAGGGAGGTAGACCCTCTATTTACTGTGAATTTTGGTAAACAACCGCTAGTCTATCAATTCAGGGTAAAATTGAGTAACTTGCAAGATCGACCATACCAAATCCTAGAACATGTGCTAAGTATGTAAAAAAGACCCTAAGTTGAACTCCACGTTCGACTATGAAATCTTTGGAAAGTAAGATGACTTAAAGATTAAAAGCAATAAGTAAAAGAAAGCGTATAATGTGTCGAAGATTAAAAGGAAAGAATGTAAAAGTGCAGTAATGTAAAGGCTTGGAAAGATAAATGTCGAAAGTAAAGTGTAGGAATGTAAATGACTTTGAAAATAACTGCAATAATGTAAATGCAAAAGACTATAATCTGAACTCCACGTTCGACTATAGAATTTTCTTAAAGTAAATAACGTTGAAAGTAAATATGCAGAAAGGTAAATAGATTTGAAAATAAATATGCAAAAGACTCTAATCTGAACTCCACGTTCGACTAGGATATCCTTGAAAGTAAAGGTGCAGAAAAGTTAAATTGCATGGAATGTAAATGGATTTAAAGTTACAGAAAAGCTTGTAAAAACGGTTTAAACGTAAAAGCTGAAGGTTAAAACGCAGTAAATAAATGGAAGGGGTAAGCAAATTGCATTAATTAAAAGAGTTGGTGTTGTATCACGTACATTCTCACTAACTCATTTCTCTACACGCGGGTACTTTGAGTTGTTTGGAGTGACTAGTACAAAATGAATGAACACCCTTATTCTATAAAATTAACAACTATTTATAATGCTAGTAAACAACTGCTCAAGGACGGTTATGGATTCTCAACGTGTCTGGTTTGGCGCTTTTTCCACTCTTCAATTGTTCCCACGTCCGTCCATTATCAGTTTCAATCTTGAATGTTTACAAATTCCCTTCAATTTTGGTGGTAACTGCCCATTTTGTTTTTAGTATGATTCTGGTCGAGCGTGTTCTCCAATACTTAGCATTTTCTAAAAAAATCTTGTTGATTGTCTTTGACTCAAACTTCCTCCATGCTGCGTCGAAGCCCCTATATATGTCTCAAGTGACATCTGACTGAAGATAATTATGATTTTTCCTAACATCGAAAATGAAAGCTAACACCCTCGTTAGCCCTATTGAGCATAGAAGTAGAAGTTTCTTTTCATATGAAAAAACCTTCGTATCTAACCCAGGGGCAGGGTAGTCGCCCGTTAGTTTGATCGGGCATTCAAGTTTCAAAAGGAGTGTGCATCTCACAATCAATCACCTTTATTTCCTCACTCATCAGGGGATCAAAGACGGGAAACCACAATGGTTATTCCTCATCAACCAAGGAATGGGGCAGTCACAACTCTTTCAAACAAGTCATACAAACCAATGTCACATGATTTGTTAAAAAAAAGAAGAATCAAAAGGAAAAAAAGAAAGAAATCCTTCTAAGTTGATAACTTGAAAACAAATGACTTAGGAAAAAGTTAGAGCATCCCGCTGGAGTTCAAAATCAATAAAATCCAGTCCAGGAAAAAATTAGGGGAAAACAAACAAAAGAAATAAAAATGTGAAAAGCAAAAAGGATTACAAAAGAAAAATCCTCGACCAAGAACAAGTTGTGTGACTACATACACCAAAGAAAAAAGGGGTGACCACCATTCCAAAAAACCTTGCGGGTTCCTTAACCATCACTTCTACCATTTAATAACCTTTTGAAAGGTGAACGCCTATGTCGAATTAGCTGAACGTAGGACTGGAGAACATCAAGGAGAAATAGTGGGTTAAAATAAAACTTTGAGCCTTATATCCTTTCTTTCTCAAACTGTGAACCAAGCCACGTTACAACCCTCAAAAGTCCTAATTGAGGCAAGGTTCATCCCGAAGGCATACTTCCACGAGAAACATTTCTGACTCCCATGAGTTGTGCTAATAATATTTTCGTTGGTATTGCATTGTGCATAATGTCTTCTATTCAAAGAAATCAGTGTCGCATTTTAACTAGTGACTCGTTCACAGGGTTTAGCGATATCTTTTCAATAAAAACTTCAAGATTAACATATATGTTGCATTAGAATAATCATTTTTAAAAATAAACATTTTCTGCTTGCATACATGTGTTTGACGCCAACGAAACGTACATAATGAGCATCAATCGATAGGTCTAACTTTGCCAAGAGAAAAGTCATAGACATTCATTTTGAGGAGCATGTGGCCAAGAGACTCTGTTAGGTAATAGTCTTCCAACAATTTGCTCATAAGTTTCCAAATCTGGGGCAGTCATGTCGAGAAATCTCTCCAAAGTTCTATTAATCTGGGGCAATCATGTCGAGATTCTACAAATCTCTCGAAGATCAATCAGGCAGGGGCAGAATTACTCCAAGGCTCATATTGAGGCAGACCACTTCAAGAGC